GAGCCAATCTATGGATAAAACCAAATAACCCTGACATTTTAATTTCCAGTCCAGTGCTGGAGACAGTGAGGATGATGACATCGTATCACAGTATTAAAGTTTTTGAGAAATAGAAGTGCTTAGATTGACATCTTGGGATAGAATGGGCCAGTGAGCGCTCAAGCTTGAGCCAAGTCTAGAACCATACACTTGCCCTTCACCTCTCCCCCACGTGCGTGAAGGGGTAGGGAGGACTTGCACAGAGGAATAAAAACTCTCATTGAGGTAGGGTCATCAATTACAGCAAAGGTCCGGCTCTGGAGGGGGATATTGATAACCGGGGAGGCTGTGCCTGTGTGGGGGCAGAGGCTATGGGGGAGATCTCTGTATGTTCTGCTCAATTTTGCTGTGAACCTAAAACTGCTCTAAAAAATAAAGTCAATTTTAAAAAAAAAAAATCTCATTGGGGGAAATAGAAAATTCACTTTACTGGGGGTAGGTGCATGTGGACTTTTTGAATTTTATGATTCTGACTGGGAATTGGAAGTTGAACTGAGTAGAGATGGGAAAGGGAGTGGGTACCAATTTTATAAGAATGAACCTTCTTTTTTGGGTAAAACCTGTCATGACTGACTGGTCCTATTTGCAAAGCATTTCCATCTGGGTTTTATTGGGGTTTCACAAAAGGGTGTGTATTTAAAAATAAAAACACTGACAACATTTTATAAATATTTCAGAGAAGAAGAAATGCAAGGAAGGAAGCAGCTACCGACTGGGTAGACACGCCTTGGGGGGCTGGGCTGTGTCTCACTAACCAGCGACCTCCAGAGCCTTATGCAGAGCGGTGGTCAGCAGCACCTGAGATGCATGGGCCAGGCTGGCCAGGAGTCCAGCGATCAGAGATGGAAAGGCCCAGCCCACAGTTCAGCCCATAACTCCTTACGGTTACCAAGAAGTATTCCAAAAATGGAGTCACAAATTGGGTGCAACAAGGAAGGCTTCCCTGCAACCACTTACAGCAGCTCAGTTTGGCTTTCTGAGCCCTGAGCTTAGTTCTCCCTCTCCTAGACCTTGGGAAGTAAGAGCCATGGGTCTGCTGATTCCAAGGGGAAGGGGGGCCCTACAAGGGCCTCTTCTCTGGTAGTCTGACAGGAGGTGCATCTGATGCGCTGCCCCCCAACATCCCTGGCCTATTTTGGGGCTTTTCCTAGAAAAGTCCATAATGGATTTGCGGTCTTGAAAACCCCAAGCCCAAAACACCCTGGGCCTCAGGACTTCCCCCCTTTCCCTAATGCCACCTCTTCTACTCCAGGCTGCCTCCCACAGTCCAAACAGATAAGCAGAAGGGGATCCTCACCCCACTCACGCAGTCGGCCCAAAGTCCACTTTTTGCTTGGCTTTTTCTTTCTCGAGTACCTTTTCTCACAGCCCTGATACTACTAAACAGAAAACAATAGCTTGCTTGGGAGGAAGACAGACAGAGACCAGCTCCAAACACAGCTTCAGCCTCAGGTCTGGCCTTAACGTTGGAGCTGCTCTGACCCCGGTTCCCGATTTGCATTTCCCGAATACTGAAACCAGCCCTGGGCTTCAGGAATCCCAACCTCTCCCCGCCTGCTGTCTTGAAACCACCTCTTCCCAGAAAGTAGCCACCAGTATGACCAAACTGTGGCCACTGTCAGTTCTCAGCCAAAGGGCTGGGGTTTTCACTTCTACCCTTTCTTCCCGCTATAGCCCTTGCTTTCTGCTGGACTATGTTCGTGGTTTGTCTGCTTGTGTGTGCGCGATCCCCACCCAGGGCAGGGATGTAGAACGAATCTCCCAGAGTACTGTCCCTCCAGCTCAGTCCCTCTAGCCTGGGTCTGAAGGATGTCCATGCAAAACCAACTCCTCAGACCGGGACTTCCACCAGAGCCTCTTTCCCCGAGAAACCAGGCAGGAATGGGACGGGGCCTCTGGCTTAGAGCTCCTGGTTTCCTTGGAACCCAGGATTAGTGGGGCTGAGCCTTGGAACCCAAGGGCCCAGGAACTCGTAATATTTCTTCCTCTTTGAAAGAGGCAATTGAAACTTGGAGCCAGTCCCTAAGGAAGAAGCAGCCAAACCACAGTCCCCAGATCTGCACCTTCCCTCCATCCATGAGGCTATGCCGATTCCTGGCAGTTGACATGGGGTTCGAACCCTCAGACAGAGGCACACTCACCTGTTCCATAGCTGCGCTCAAAGGCCAAGGACAGAAACAGCAGGAGGGTCAAGGAGAGGAGCCCCTTGGGATCCATCCGTCAGTGAGGAGAAGGGAGGGGGCCTGGCCGGGAGCCCGGCAGTGGCTCACAGATGCCACCACCTCGGCAGAAGCGAGCTTTTGTCAGGCAGTGCTGCCTCAGCTGTCTGATTTATGCATCAGGAGCCAGCAGTTCCTGAACCAGTTTCCTGTGTCACTGGGACTTTTTCTGCCTGTGTCTTGAGCATTGCTCATCTCACTGCAGCCCTTAAATCACTTTGCTGTTCTCAAGAAGCAGCTGCTCCAGAGGTCCCGGCACTGTGGGAGCCGGGAAAGGGGTATGTGTAGTCACCTGGGCCAAACCCCGGCTCTGGGCAGAAATGTGCTGCCCCCCTTCTTTCCTTAGCTGTCTCCAGGAAATGCTGTCACAGCTTCTCTGAGCAGTTCTCTCTTCTTAGAGTGCAAAGAAGAGATGTTTGTCAGACCAGCCCTCAAATCTGATAGTTCAAAGCTGAACTTAGATGACTGTATTTCGATCAACTGATGGACCTCTTACTTTTGATTTATTCTGTAATTTTGGATAAAACCTTAACATGCAGTCATGTCCTGGTGCCACAGTCACAGAGATCACTTGGCAGAAACCCAATTTCCCTGATGAGTGCAACGTGGTAGAATTTAGCAAGTCCTGTGTTGTGTTTTGGGGGTCGCCTTTATTTTAGAGTTTGTGTCTAACTTTCCATTGAAAGGAGGGGGCTACAATTGATAGAAGGAAGACTCCATGTTTTTCCATGAGTTAAGTTATAAGAACGGAACACTGGAAAATGCTATTACCAATGATCACAGGGATATTTGAAAGGCCAGGGTAGTGCTTTTGGAGTCCATCTCAATGGGTTAAAGACCCTCTCCGATGGGCCTCCCCAAGGGGAAAAGGGTGGTAAAAGCTGGCGATATGTGTGAACTTGCTCTTTATCCTCACTGTTCCCCCCGCCACCCAAGACCCAGCCATCCTCCCCACAACTCTACCCAGTGGTGTGCTCGAGCTGGCACGTACCCACCCATGAGAGCCAATTGTTAAATTTTCAGGAATCTTGTGAACTGCTTGATAAACATGGCCATTATTAAATTATATAAACATACAAAGTTAAATTGTGTAAACTTATGGTTAAATGAATTATATTAAAAACAGAGGGAATAAAACCTCAAAACTCACTACTTCCTATTTATTGTATGACATCACTGATATCCATGCTCTTGAGGTCATTGACACCTACTGTATCTCCACGTGGAAATAACACGCCAACTCATGGGTGCAGCTGCTCCTCTTTTCCCGGCTCTGAATTCAATGACATCATGTTGGGAGCTTGAAATCGGCCGTGGTGGGAGTTTATACCACGGAAATTGGCAAATGATATAAATCAGAGCTTTAATTTATGGTTTCATTGATTGCCTAGATGTAAGAAAGTGACAGAGAAAACATAATGATACAGATTAAATTTAAACGTATATACCATGACTCTAGGTAGCCCTTACATTGGGAATAGTATAAAAAATTGAGGAGATATTTTTCCAATACTCAAAAACTGTTGTCTGATTCAGAAAAAAGTCACTAGTGTCACTGATGGGCAAGCAATATTCCCATGTATGTCTTTGTTATTTCACCTCTCTTTAACTTACAAAGGGTTAGTGACCAACATTCATGTTGGAACTATATTCTTTAGTCAGTTGTAACCTGAGATTGGCTATGTATATGAGTTAAGCCAATATAAACACAGGAATTCTGTGAGAATCAATTGACGGTACAGAATTTACAATAAAGGGTGTTGTACATTTTATTAAAATAAATAAATTGTATCTTTATAAATCGTGTGTTACATATCCTTCATATAAGTAAAATTTACCAGCACACCACTGCCACAATAACTGAGAATTCAAATGGCGGGGTGAGTGGCATATTCTCCCTATATTTGTAAAATAGCAGCTGAAATATAACTAAATGATATGGGAATATTGGGATCCCATATTCCCATAAGGCTTATCCCATAAGGCTTTGGTGTTGACTATACAATCACTCAGTTGAGAAGCAATGTTGGCACACAGTGGACCCCTATGATGTTAATGCATATTTATTCTGGCTTTTACAAAAACATTTTGTGAGATAAGACTATGCTATGCTCTTTTAAGGTAATATAGTTTAAAACTTGAAACACTTTGGTAGGGTTCTGATTATTAGCCCCATTTGATAAGTGGGAAACCTATGATCCGGGTCTGACTTCAAGACTGGTGCTCTCTTCTCAAGCCACACAGCTACTGGAATGTACGTTCTGTCTAGTTGTGTCAAGCCCCTTTCCCAAAGACAGGTACTTACTCTCTTGTTTATTTTGCCCTTCCTCTCATTTCCAGAATTAACCCTTCTCTAGCCCCACCATGAGACATCTCCACTATGTTCCTTAGATCCCCCCTGAACAGACACACACGGAGCTAATGTTGAGCACTGTCTGAAGGGTTTTACTCTTCATTGCAATCTAAAACTCAGCAAAAGTGTACACTGAATGAGGGTCAGAAATGGTTTAGATGAAGCTTCTGAGGCCCTGTAGTGGGTTAAATAGAGTCCCCCCTCTTCAAAATTCTTGTCTACCTGAACCTCAGAATGTGACCTTATTTGGAATAGGTGCTATTCCAAATACATCTTTCAGGTGAAATACATCTATCAGATGTAATTAAGGTAAGGATCAAGATGAGATTATACTGACTGGATTAGGGTGACCCCTAAATCCAACCAGAGGACTGTATCTTTATAAGAAATAGAACAGGCTAAGCATGGTGGCTCATGCCTATAAGCCCAGCAATTTAGAAGGCCAAAGTGGGAGGATCACGTAAGGCCAGGGTTCAAGACCAGCCTCAGTAACATAACAAGACCTTGTCTCTACAAAAAATTAAAAAAATATTAGCCAGGCATGGTGGCTCGCACCTGTAGTCCCAGCTACTTGGGAGGTTGAGGCAGGAGGATCGCTTGAGCCTAGGAGTTTGAGGTTGCAGTGAGCTATGACAAAGCCACTGCACTTTAGCCTGGGTGACAGAACCAGCCCTCTCCCCAAAAAAGGAAAGAAAGGACATAAAAAAGACAGCCATGTGAAGACAGAGGCAGAGCTGTGCAGCCACAATCCAAGGAACACCGGAGACCAGCAGAGGCTGGAAGAGGCAAGGAAAGATTCTTCCGCAGAGACTTCGGAAGGAGCCTGGCCCTGCCAATATCTTAATTTCAGATTTCTGGCCTCCTGGCCTCCAGAACTGTGGGGGAATGAATCTCTCTTGTTCTAAGTGATCAAGTTTGTGGTAATTTGTTACAGCAACCATGGGAAATTACAAATAACACAGGACCTGAGGGGCAACACGTCTACCCCAAGATTTGCAGTCAGTGCACCTAGTACACACCAAGCTGCTTCCTCCAGCTGTAAAGAGCAGACATTGACAGACCAACAACAGAAGATACACAGGTGATATAACTTGTCTTTACAAAGCCATTTGCAAAAGCCTTCACATTCACTACCTTATTTGATCCCTATGAGGGAGGTCGAGCTGGTGGTGTTACACGGCAGGGTCTAGACCGAACTTGGGAATCTTGACTCTGGGTCAGGCATAAGTGTCCCTGTTTTACAGATTGAGGCACAGGTTGCTAAATAATTTTCCCAATGGCACAGAGCCAAAAAAATGGAAGGGTTGGATTCAAGTCCTGGATTATGTGACTCCAGAGTCTGCGCTCTACCCAGTCACCATGCCAGTATGTCACTACACTGAGCAAGAACTCTGGCCAGTCTTCAGACTTGTGTTGGCCGATGGCCCGTTATCTGTGGGATGTTCCTTCTGAATGTTCAGGCCACAGCACGGCAGCAGCACCATTCCCCAGTGTCTGTGGCACGGCACCACTTTGCCCCTTCTGGTTACACAGAGCCCCAGCTTGAGAGTGAGGAGGACCGTATTCTGTGGAAAACAGCCTTCCCCCAACAGCCTCATGTGGGCTACACAATGAGGCTATCTCCTACTCTTAAACTCTTACATGTGTCCCTAAGACTTGCTACTCTCTCCCCTGACACTTCATGGTGAGGGGCGGCAAAGTTACCTGGGTGACAGCATCTGGGCTGCACTGCCCCTGAGCGTCTTGGCTCCCCAGCCTATGCTGTACTTATCACAGCCTCTGACCAGAGGTCCCCCGAAACATGGCCCCACAGGGAAGGGTCGCTGAGGCCAGACCACCTGGCCACATGGAGCTCACGATGAACACATCTATCTGGATAAGTAAACAAGAAAAACCCTCAAAACCAAAATGAAAATACAAAATTCCCCCAAACTCTGAAACATCTCCTAGGAGACCTGACTGCAGAGTCTAAAACCGGCCTGGGGAAAGCACTGGGAAAAACACCGTGGGGTCCGCCCTGCTGGGTGAGATGAGGAAGCCCACGGGGGCAGATGTCTGACATGGAGGCTGAGCAGACCAGTGGACCAGATAGCCCTGTTGTGGGACTGGTGCTGTCAGGGCTGAGAGCAGAATGGGGAGAAAACTTGGCTGTGAGGTGGCTCTAGCTCAGACGCAGGCCCAGACTTTGCTCCGCCCCCACTCCCTGAGTGTTCATGCCTGTCAGTCACCTTCCTGGGCTCCGGGAGGGGAGCTGGAAACGTGGTCCAGTGTGGCCTGCAAAAATGTCTGCTGGTGGTGCCTTCAGGCCTTTATCCTGTCTGTGGTACTGAAATTGCCCCCTCCAAGGCCCTGACCAGGTTCCTCACATCAGTGCCTCCTCCAGGGGTTCAGATGTGGTTCAGAGCACTGGAGTCTGGGAGTGGAGGGATATCTGTGGGCCTCTGCCATCTGAGGACTTCTTCTCCAAACTCCTGTCATTTCCACAGATGCTCCTGCTATCCCTCCAGACCCCAGAGCCAACACGTGGGGATCCCTCTCGTTCAGGGGCCTCCCTGGACTGATTCTGAACTCCTCATGTCCCTTAAGAGGTGACTGACCAAGAGAGAGTCACCGCTTCACAGACTCTCTCCACAGCATCTTTAGAA